GCCCAGTAAGGAGTGGCATTGAATATTTTGAACCATAATGCAGCCTTCCCCAGGGGAAAATGCCCATCATTTGTTATGGCTGGAACATGAGGTAGAATGGAGGGTCAATGAGAAATGAGACTTGTTGTTAAGGCAGAAGATAGATAATGTGGGACCTTATAGAACAAAGATGCTTGGCCCCGATTCTGTAAACAATCATAAAGGTGGTAGGTCTTTGCCTCCAAGTGAGGGCAGTGTCGTCAGATTTCCAGTTTGAACACATCACCCTGTCAACTCAGGAGGTGACACAGGAATGGGGAGGAAAAGAAAAACAGGAGCCCGGAGAGACGGACTTCACTGCATCTTGTATGGACGAGGCCCATTGATAGGATGCAGTTTTTTCTTTTGTCCATCAAATGACATGTTAACACTAATAAAAACATCTGCTTTACTTGCAAACTACAACAGAGGAGAGGTCATTAATACTCGATGTCAGGCTCTGGGAGGCCCCGGAAGGTCTGAGAGAGTCTGTGAGCATCTCATTGAAGCTCTTGCAGGTAGAGTATTGACGACAAGGTGAGAAAGCACAGTCAGATTTCCTCGGAGATCCAAAACCTGCCAAAGAGAGACCTGCCTTTTTGCACAGCACTTCACAATTCACTCAAGGCAGTGGTGGATGCTGTGGAGGCTTTGGAGTGAGAGACCCGAAATTCAGGCCCAGTTGGCTGCTTATAAGCCATTAGACCTTGGGCAATTTACTTCGTCTCCTTGAGCCAATTTTCTCATCAATAAGGAAGGAGGGAGGGAGGAAGGGAAGGAGGGGGGCAGGCTTCCAGGTCCCCCTGGCAGCTTCAAAGGGAGCAATTTTCTTGTAGACGGCTGGGCTAGCTGTACCCACTCCCGGTTCCTGCTCACACAACCCTCTTCCAGCACCCCCTCTCCCTGCCCCCAGGAACATAGTGAAGGGACACAAATTTTCACACAAGGACCCTTGGCATCTCTGGGCAGCCCCAGCCTCAGAGAGTCAAACTTTCCCCTGCCTGGATGGGGACACTGAGGCCCAGAAAGGGGTGGGAACTGGCTTTCTGGCACTGGGCTGGGCAGAGGAAGGCGAGAGGGCAGAAAAGAAAGAGAGATGAGGGGGAAGCAGCCTCTGGTTGCTAGTCCAGCAAGTGGCCCTGGAATTCTGTCCTGAGCCGGCCCAGACCCTGTGGCAGCCTAGGCCTGAACAAGGAAGTGCTTCTCTGGAATCAGGGAGGCAGCTGTTGTGGATTTCTGGAAGGGCTTGCTCTAGGCTCCTGGGAACTCTGGACACCCCACCCACACTCCCACACACTACAACCTTTTTCCCCCTAAAAAAGAGGAACTGGTCCTATCTGTGTGATCTCAAGATGGGACTCATCTGGGTGTGGCAGGGGGCCAGCACAGATTTGGGGGATCCTCCCTAGCTTGCCTGACCTGGAGCTCAGAGAAGCTGAGTGGGAAAGCTGATTCAGAGAGAAGGAACCTAGCGAGTCATCTTTTTGCTCAATCTGTGCAGGTCCCTGGAGGATGTGATAACCGCTCTGTGGGTGGGCACTTCCTTGGGACTCGAGCTCTGTGCTGGCCATTTATTAACTGGGCCAGCCAGCCAAGCATCCCAGGAAGAGGCTATCATCAGCCCTTACAGCCATGCAATCCCTGGAAGCTTGGCCACTTTCTGAGGATCCATGCGAGCCCAGCTCCACCTGGGTATAGAGCCCAAGGCCTCCCTGTCCAGTGGGGTTCCATTCCTCTCCTGGTTCATGCACCCAGCATGCAGTAGGGCCAGGCCGGAGTCAGCCTCTGTCATGGGCTGACCCTGCCTTGAAGGAGACTCTCCCAGGAGCAGCTTCCAAGAGACACAGGTGAGGGTTTAGAGGGAGTAAGAAGCCAAAGTGGGGAGAGATTCCGAGATCTACACAGGAGACTAGGAGGCTGAGAGGGAAGACACTAAGGCAGGTGACACAAGACAGGACAGAATTCCACTGAGACCAAAAGAGAAAAGTGTATGGAGAGAGGAAAAGCTCAGCAGGTAGAGGCTGAGGGGAGGTAAAGGAGAGGTGGCTCCAATGGGTGGAGAGCAGGGATGAGGTTTGAGAGCACTGCCCATCTGGCAGGCTGTCATTCAGTTATTCAGTGCCCAGCCCCAGGGCCGGCATGCAGGTGAGGTCTAGAAGGTTCTGCCTGGGGGAGTGGCTGGGTCCAGGTCTCCTTTTTTGCACCAGCATCAGTCCAGAGCTCCCGGAAGCGACTTGAAACACAAGGCAGTCTGACCAAGCTGTGGTGTCTGCCTGCCAGAAGCTTCCAGGCTGGGTCATGGAGAAGGGAGATGTGGGAAAAGCAGGCTCTGGGTTGGGAGCTCTGGTCCCTTCTTAGTTTTTTGGACAATGCAGTTGCAAAAAGTTCAGACCAGGAGACTGGAGAGAACACATTCCTTTCTAGACAAGGTGTCAGTTTGCCTGCTTGTTTGCTCATGAGTTTTACTGTTTATTGGAGACATATTCCAACATCTCTGGCAGTGGAAAGACCAATATCGTGAGGCCCAGTAGCCTCACCAAGTGTCAGCATCCCCTGTCATGGCCCTTCGGAGGAGAAAGAGGGTCCAAAACACGTAGAAAACATTGTGCTCTATGAAAGTAGCCCATGAGATTGTATGATTCCCTGTGAAATGTTCAGAATGGGCACATATATAGGGACAGAAAGTAGATAAGTGATCTCTTAGGGCCAGGGGAATGGGAGATGGAGGGGTGACAGCCAAAGGCTGAGTTTTCTTTTTGAGGTGCTAAAAATGTTCTAAAATGGACTGTGGCGATGTTGTACACTCTGAGACTATACTAAATGAAAACAATTGAATCATATGTTTTAAATAGGTGAACTGTATAGTATGTGAATTATATCTCAATAAAGCTGTTTAAGAAATGAAAGAAACCCATGTAAGTCAGGTCCATTGCCCAAGGAGCCCCACCTAGCCTTGTGTCCCCAGCCAGCCCTCTGCTGCACCCTGCACCCCCCGGAGGCTGAGCCTCCAGGGCTGCACACAGCACCAGAGGCTCAGGAAGGCTTCTGGAGCAGGTGACTTGGATCAGAGGCGTAGGGAAGAGGGATGTGTGGTGGTAGAAGGAAGAGCACACAGCATGGTGCAGAGGGTGTGGGGAGCGGTGGGCCAGCCTCAGTCTCATCACAGCACTCACCCTTGGCTGGCAGCCTGATGTGTTCCTGGAGGGAGCTTGGGGTGGCAATGAGGTGGCACTCTGCAAGGGGCCATATGCACCATGGAGATCTTCCCCATAGTTGGGGCATGCATCCAGGGCAATATTTCTGTAAATACGGTTTCTGTGCCTGGAAGGCTTTTGTGTCTGTGGTTTGCAGTCTGCAATAAGCTGTGACTGCATGCCCGGCTCAAGGCCCACTGAGTCACTCGGCCTGGCCCTCTAATTTGGGGGCCACTCCCAGACCAGCCAGGCAGCACCTAAGTCCTGGGCTCCCCTCCCCCTCTCCCTCTTCCTCCCCAGACCTCAGCTTTCTCTGCAGCAAAGGAACAACCTGGACCGTAGCTGATGCACACTGGGAACAGCAAGTCCTTGCTGGCTAGTGGGAGGCCAGAGGGCAGGGCTGGGAGGAAGCAGGAGGAGGAGGAAGGGGAGAGCAGGCATGGGGGGCAAGGCAGGAAGGAAGAGAAGGCATTTCCTGAGGCCCCAGGCTCCAGAGGAGGCCGGTGCACAGCTGTCTGAGCTTCACAGGAATGAGTGGCAGACAGTGCTGGCCGCGTGGTGGTGGGACATGAGAAAGGGTGGAGGTTGGAGGGAGGCAGAACCCAGCCCCCATCAGTATGAGCCTGAGGGTGACCAGGGCCCTCTCCCAGCATGCCCTGCACCTCTGGGACACCACTGAACAGGCCTTTAAAGCCCCACCCCGGACATTTACCCCAAAGGGCTGCAGAGGCCTGGGCGATCCTGCTGGAACTGGTTTGCCCCTCAGTCCAGAACCTGCACCCTCCCACTGCAGGCCCCTTCACAGAAGGCCCTTCTGCCAGAAGGAGCCAAGAACTTGACCTGAGAAGCAGCCTAGTGGCTGGCTCAGGCTCCCAGGAAAGCCCCCAGGCCATACTGCTGGCTTCCTGCTCTGAGCAGCCAGCCCTCACATAGCCCTTTTTGGTTCACTGCTGCCCCAAACCACTTCCCAGTGCCCAGCCTGGGCCCCAGAGTGCAGGGCAGGTGCTTGAAGGTAGCAGCGGGTGGGGGGTGGTGGAGGGGGGCAAGGGTAGGGAGATAAGAGTAGGGGAGGCAGGACTGGTGAGCAGTGGAGGGTGGGGGGCACCTCAAGCAAGGCAATTTAAGCCCATTGCCACCCCATAGGACTGTGTGTGGAGAAGGGCTTGCAGTCAGCTGCAGCCTGTCCCCAGACAGCTGGCTTACAGCTGTTTGTGCCCTGGCTTCAAAGCTAGATGGGAA